TTAAAAATGTATACTCAATCGTGATGGTGATTATTTTTAGTACATAGTTTACATTGGATAATTGTAGTTATGATTAATAACTACATATCGAGGACGGTTATATTTTATATTTAGACTAGTCATGTGATGAGGCAGTCACGCGATTTTAGCACATTGACTTGAAGTATTGATGTTACATATAAATATCACTAGTGCAAGGGCATAATAACCAAGTTAAATTTCCAAGTTTAGTATATATAGTTTCTAAAATAAGTGCAATCCTGTCTAAATTCTGGAATTTCATTGTTAAAATTATACTTGTACGACCGAATGCTATATAATTTTTGCTGGTCAGAGGCATGAAATATTGATATAACCAAATTGTTTTTAAGATTTCATATTTATAGTTCTATATTTGAAATGTAAAAGCTTACTTTGATCCATAAAGTGTATGCCCTTGCACTAGATTTATTAAGACCCCCCACATTACTCTCCGATATACTTGCATACAATTATACGGCAGTGTCAAATAAATACGTAATGTACAGAAAATATATTAACAAAATAGTGAAGAAGACATTAAATACAAGGTATTGGCCCATAGAATATCTGTAAACAATATTTTATTTCATTAGAGAATACATATTTTGTTGACAAAATATTACTTGATCTGTCTCTCTCTGCATACAGACTACGTCACGTTGTAAGAAATGTATTGCGAGCAGTGACTTGTTTATAACATGTTATGTGGGATTAATCTATCGGCAAAACAACACGCTGTAGTAAGTTTTTATGTAGTTTGATGAATTCGTACTGGTTAAACTAGCAGATAAACTCATTTTGTTGTATTTTAAAGAAATGTTTTATGACGTATATGGGTACAGTCCACTAATTGTTTTCCCATAGGCGACAATGTTAACGTTTCTTCTCATAGCGATCTCCCTAATTTTCGTTCGGTAGTGAGTGACCCCTCAAATCAAAGCACATCAACTTGTCTTTCCTTGGTTAAAATCTCGAGGTGGCATGTCAGACTCGTTTTCCGGCAAAATGCGTCTGTCTGCGGGAACCTCTAAAAATGAAAGTGAAAGTATTTCAGAATTCTCACTGGCGTTATAATACACAAAATAATTCGGCTGATCTTCTTGATAAATTACATTTTCAAAGCTTTTTGGGCAGGAAAGATACTCCTTATCAACAAGTGTGAGTCTCAGTTCAGTACACCTGCCCAATTTTTTTTATGCAAGTCTGCAATTTAAGGAACGTAATTTTTTCTGCACTACTTTCTTCTCCTACCAATTCTAAAAATAATTAGTCGGATGTACCCATATTGTGTATGATGTCATAGTCATTTTCCGGTACAAATTAGGCTCCACCTCCTTTTTGTAACCTTAACTGTGCTGCGAATAAAGAATAATTATTTTGTTTTGCCAAAAAAAAATCATTTTTTAATCTCAAATATATTTAAAACAGGAAATGAAGTGATCAATCAATTAACAAAGGGAAATGATTCATCGTTGTATATTTCCGTCACACTGATGGATGGTAGAACGCTGACTGAGATGTACCATCGATTCTACATTTCTAACGAAGCGGAAAATTATCAGCTCTTTCTTGGGGGACCTGCCACAGGATTATTAGGTAGTTAATAAATTGAATGAGAACCTCACAGGAACGATAGAGAATGGGTTAAAGAGGGTTTACTATAAAAATAAACTCAAAACTCACAAACAAGTGTGACACAAATAACATTGCAAAGCTGTAAATATTTGAACGTAAATGCTTCAAAACGTTACTTTTAGAATTTATGTATGAAATTTTTAGTTAATATTGAAATTTTCCACCCCAAGAAAACCATTGTCAAGCGAGGCGCAGCCGAGGTTGACAATGGTTTTTGAGGGGTGAAAACTACATGCAATACTTATTATATGATACTGAATGTTTTATACAAATGCATATACCAGAGAACCTTGCGCGCGTAAATTTTGCGCAGTCGCTATTTTTTGGAATATCACCCGTCGTCAAGCAATGTTGACTGTTCCTACGCTGGAGGGCGTAGCTCTATTATTCAGCGGGAAATAGTGTTTTTTAACAAATGTTCCTCTACCTATCATTTTCAACTAATTTACATAAAAGTATAATGTTTTGGTTTATTACACACTCTAGACATCTTACATTTAATTCCTTAAAGTTCATATCATCCTTCTGTAAGGTCTGCAAAGGTGTTATTGAATTTTGTTATTAGCGAATTGGAAGTTGAGCCATTCTTTGTATTATAATTAAGTAAATGGAGCTAAAACCTTGAACGGAAAACTTTAACCAGACATAAACAATGTGTTTTGTGACAAGGATACCATGGCAACATGTCCTTAAATTTAGAATATTTCATTTTTAAACATGTTTAGAACACCATAATTAACGTTTACAGCAATTTAACCAAGATGCAATGACTGTTTCTAAAAGCTGAAAATTTGAATTGTTTGTTTTCTTTGACATGTATCTATATATTTATATAGATCCCATTTTTTTTAAATTGATATATGTTTATGAACTACTTGACTTTACTTAAGAAAGGCTTGATTTAAGATACAATGGAACTAAAAAGGAACTAAAAACTTTGTCCAACTTTTTTGGCTGTGACAATAGTACAAAAGAGACATAGCAACCGAATTTTATTTGATTCATACTTTTGGTGTTAAGTTGCAAAATGGTATCATCAAAATCGTTGACCATTTGCTGCAAAGATATTTAATCACTTATAAAGAAATATTCTTAACTATTCTTATCAACTCTTTGAATTTATTTAATTTTCATACTTTTATCTTGTAATGCTGTTGGAGGCAATCATGATTTAGAGTCTTTCAAAAACGTAATTATTTTTATTACAGCAAAACTCGGTTATAACGAAGTCATTGGGACCTTTGAAATTACTTCCCTATATCCGTAATTTGTTTTAACCATATAAGAAATTCATTTAATTAATATTGGTTTGAATCCAAGATGACTTCGATATATCCGTAAAATCGCAATATCCGTGTTCGTACTAAACAAGTGTTGCTGTATACTAAATTGTTTAATAGAGGCAATATTTAATTACCAATACTTAAAGGTGATGAAGTAAAGTATATGAAAGTATATGATTTATAATATGTAAGTAATTCCCAAATTTAAACGTTTGACGTTTTATTTCTTTTTTAATTCTAGGTGACGCAATGTTAAATACAGTTGAGTCGGAGGCTAATCTTTCTGGGATGGGCTTTAGTACAATAGACAGGGACAACGATAGGAGCGGATCTAGCTGTGCCGAGCTTCACAGGGGCGGATGGTGGTTTAACGCATGCTACCGAGCATTTCTAAATGGCCCCTGGTCACAGAGAGAGTGGGGGATTCCATGGGCTTTTACAATTTTATCCGGGAGAGATATAATCGAAACACAGATGTTAGTCAAACGTTTATAGGAAAAAGTTAATTTGTTATTGCTCAGAAAAAAGAGCAAAGAGCCGTAAATGTATTTTTGGAAGATAAATGTAATTTTAATACTCATACATTTGTTTCATAGAAGCCTAAAAGTCTTCTATGCCAAAAAAGCGTAAGTTTTGGCGACCAGATGATTTTGAATTTGTTGGCTTCACAAAGACATGATATAAGTACATGATTGTGTATGTATGTCCATAACCCGCAACCCCATCAACACTTTCTAGAATATACGGTATAAGTAGATTTCTTAGCGAGGATTTAATTTTGACATTATCAGCGAGGGTGCCAAGATCGCTAAAATTAAATATCGCTAATCATAAAAATTGGTTTATCTGTAATATGTTCTTTAGTGAGTTTTTAAAAATCGCTTAAAATTACATCTCGCTAAAAATAAATTACCAATTTTTAAGGTTGAATCGCTAAATTTGCATCTCGCTATAATTGCCACCTATACGGTATTGTCTTGTCGGTTTATATCATATTTGTTGCATTAAGTGTGAAAATTTTAGATTTTAATTTGTCATGTTTTTTTTTTCTTTTGGATGAAACCCCAATAACAGGTCTTTTGTATCAATTACAATAAGCTGGTGTGATAAAAGCCTGAACAACTTACTGAACCTAAGTCCTGAGCATAGGTTTAAAGTTCAAGGCCTTCTTCGGTAGATCGTGACTTTCTTATCAACAGTATGTGTGAAAACTTTACAACGGGTCGTTAAACAGCAATATTATATAATAGGATTATTTTCGTAATTTTCATTGGCGGAGAGGACGTCACGTGATAAGCGTGTTTTTAACCATTGTGACGCAATGACAGACAAGTCTGTTTAGTTAGAATTACAGTACATTCACTTTGTGTGATTATATAATATAACTATTATGGACTTCAGTGAAAGATCGATATGTGTTTATTAGGACGCATGGCAATTGATATTGACCTCAGACACAGAAAATGATAGTGACCTCGCAGGCTCTGTCGCTATCACTTTTTGTGTCTTCGGTCAATATCAATTGAAATTCTTATAACCACATATCGACCTACACTGAAGTCCATATTTGTATAAAATATCATCTCATCAATCAATAACCTTTTACAGAATATATAGCTTCCTTACATTTCTACATTTACGAGCAATTCCTTTTCGATATCTACATCCTTTGATTTAGAGAATAAGAAAATCTGTACCATCATGAAATAATTCGGAAAGCTTTGTTAGAGGTTCAAGAATGGCTTAACTGGTTATCTGTAAGAATGACGACAAACTGAAAAAAAAGAAGCATGACGTCATATTTACATACAGACTTTCCTATAAAAATATTATCAGGCCAGTAAAATGAGCACAATTTTGTTGGAAGCGATAGATCTTTCTCAGACCAAAGCGTTCCAATGTTGGATAAATAATTTTTCGGATTTTTTTTTATAATTTGAACACTTCTTGAAAGAAAAGTAACGATATTCTCAATTCAGAAAAAAATTCAAGAAGTAAGAAAAAAAAATTTAATCCTTTTTGATTAATTTTCATCATTTTGTTTTCATTTATATTCTTTCTTACATCTTGAAGAGTTAACAGTCAGTGTCAATTTTATAAATGTTCTCCAAAATGTTTGACGTATATTCCACAGGACACATCCAGGCTTTTTAAACATTTCTGTTACATACATTAACTCAGATATTCTATCCAACTATTGTTTTGCTGCAGTCCATGCAAATAACATCTAGGTACCATGACTTTTCTTGAATACGATTCTTGTTGGCTCTGTCTCCCAAAACGCAGGTATAATTCCCAGAATCCGCTGCAGTCACATCTAGTACAAAAAATGTTTATAAATTTATATTTTTACTGAGCCTACCAAATATTTAAAAATTATAATATACATCAGTAAATATACCTTACATTTAAGCTTAAATTTTGAAAGCAAGTCTCTTTCATGTATACACATAACAAGGAAAAATTTATAGGACACGTTGAAATAAAACAATTACATAAGGAAATCGGTTCTACACATATATTCCAAGAAACAATAAAAGCAGACATAGTCCCCTATTATGTTAATTAATCAATTTCTGCAAGAAAACTAAAAAAGATGTAACGTTACCCCTCACTTTACGAGACAAAATTATCAAATTTAACTTTCCTATCAGCAAACAGTTTCTTATACTAGTTTGAGTATTAACAAAATGTATCTACGTTGAAAGCGTATCAAATACCTGGTATTTCCAAGCCAACCTCCAAACACATATTTGTAGTTTTTACATGCAATTTATATTTATTCGCATTGGAAACCATTCTTAGATATGAAATCGTTTGACCATTAAATAACCATCCAACAGATGTTTCCTTAACGGCAGATCCCTGCTTATGTCCAGTTATTCTGCAACTGACATTAAACGCTTCATTCGTCTGCAAAAGGTGGGAATTCCCTATCACTGAGACAATATCTAATAAAAAAAAATATCAAGTGAATTTAAGATAACATATGTGAAGATGATCAAGAAAATCTTTTGCTTTATAAATAATCTGATAATATAATGTTACAAACAGTCTACATTAGTTTTTTTTTCAAATAAATTAATTTCAGATTTCTACTCATGCATAACATAAATCATTATAACGAAGAAATTTTTTGGTTCTAAAGTCGGAGAAATGCAATTTGCCGAGAACTCAGCCAATAATTGTGTTGTTATACCTTTTATTTTATATCAATATTTTATTTTAACATGGATTATTGTATCCTGTACTGTCTTCCGTGTTGTAAACCGCAGGTTCATCATTGTAAAACACCAACGAATGCATAGGAGTTAAAGTTCCGCCTATCTCAGCGGCGGGTTTAATAACTCACTCATCGGCCATGGATCAATTTTTTTAATGCCCACTCAGCAAAATCATTAGAAAAGTTGGACTTTTTCGTATAGATTTAGATATGAAATTGTTAAAGGTATAATAAAATTCAAACAATATCTTTCATGCAAACTACATGTATAATAATTTCTATATATCATTGAGAGAAATGTCAAAAACATGTATTTGACAGTTTTTCACCTATAAAAATAATCTGACAACAATCAATAAAATTGTCTACAAGGGCTTTCAAATATTGATTCACAATTTGAAATTTAGATCAAAATTTAGATCAAGGTATTCAAATTTGAAAAACATTATTAATATATAGCGTTTGGGTAAATATATCTTCATGTTTTTACTATTTAAGGATATCCGATCCTCAGCCAGAAAGGATAACTCCAAAAATTAATATTTTATTTGAAATGCATCAAAATGAAGCTTGTAAATGACATTTTTTCATGCAACGATTTTCATTTTATTCATCTTTATAAGATTCAAGGTTTTAGGAAGTCTTAGAAAAGGTCTTTAAAAAGTTGACATTTGTATCCTATGAAAGGAGAAAAAATTAATACACTTAATAACAGTTTTAGAAAAATGAGGTTTTCTCGAATCCAGCCTTAGATACTAACGCTTATTAGTATGATTTGAAATAAAAAATGATTTGTGGTGTTTTGCAATGATAGCAAAAGCCTTTTACACTATGTATTATAGAATACATGACGGAAAAAGAAGACAAAAAATACTAAATAAGTATATAAACAAAGCAATTTCTCTGAATGCTTGGATACCAATCGTTTTTTTTTTTAACCTAAAATACATTTGTTGATCAATTTGCAATAAGAAGATATTCATTGATTATATTCCAATTAGCTTTTTCTGCAAAAATATTGGAGATTTGAAAATTTTTCCTTTATATTATGATTAACTTTTATTTTCAACTTTAAAGAAAATACCTTGGATAATTTACATAATCTTGTGGATTCAGAGATATTTTTATGAGTATTTTTGATTACTTAACTGCTAATTTTATAAACCTGAGGATCGGACTACCTTAATATGTAACATAAATGTATCGAATCTGTTCTTAAATATCACTTTGAATCGCCACTGAATGTAAGATTTGATAAAAAAAATTTATCTAGTTTTAAAAAATCTAGAAGGTCACAGTTCTGTCACATTGAGTAGAATGAATAATTATTTAGTCCGTGAGGAAAATGTGCGATTTAAATGCAGGTGACTTATAGGCCAAAAGTGCCGGGTGTAACGTTTCAGTCTTTATATTTCAGATATATTATAATATTTTGTCGTATTACATAAGTCATTATAATAAATTATTATTATTATTATATAGTTTCTGAGTATTTAAGTTTTAATATATTTAAACTGGTCATGATAGCCTAGTGGTAGTACTCTCGCTTTGTTATCAGACGATTAGGGTTCGAATCTCGTTGGCTGCTTGCTCGTGCATCACACCTTGTCAGACAATACAATTTCTCATTGAGTCATATGTTGACTGGCGTTTCTCATACTAATTATTAGACCATTATTTTTTCTCTGAATTTACGACGGATTTTTCCATTTTTTACCGATCATGACAAGGAGCACATGGCGCTTGTGACCGCTCAGCAGGGATGCTCCTCCATTGTACCTGATCCCACCTCTGATGTTTGGGAGGTCTGTGTTTGCTCTGCTGCTAATTTTAACTGTATTGTTTAATGGATTTTGATATTGATTATTGTTCCTTATTTCCATATCCTTCTCTACGTATGACTTAAGGAAAGGTAGAGTATGCTCCATCGCCCATCCTGCGACATTAGAAGTGAGAGTTACTGGTCTTAATCCTTATGTGCTTAGTGTGTGCTTAATCGCCCTGAGTATCAAGTTAAAGTACAATCCTGTCAACGACATAGTGTGACGCTTGCGTTTGATTTGAAATTTCTCGAATTGCACGTTAAACAATATGCAAACGTTTAGTAAATCAATTAATCAATAAATCTAAACATCCTTCCATTCTTAAAATTATTTTTCATGATTCTATTTTCTTAAATCGATTATGAGCAGTTTTATCTAATTGAGTTTTCTTTCATTTGTAATTTTAAATTTATTTAAATGATAACTGTAATTAATATATTTTATCTAAAAGGTTCTTGCTTAGAACAACCCCCAACCCCTACCCCCTTACAAAAAGAAATAAATAACAGTTGTATATTGTTAGAATGTAATTTAAAAGGAAAATATATTATAAATAAAGGCAAACTTAAAACTGTCAGGTTTATTATTATTTTATTATTATAATTATTTTTAAATATACTTTATTGTTAATAATTCTTTTTATACAAAAGATATACTAGCTACTTTACCTGAAGCTTTAGTGATGTTGACCCTCTCTAATCCCTGTGGTTTAATGTAGTCTGGCGTTGTTGGGATGATGATTGAATTCCCCCATCTTTGTGTTGGCATAATAACAATGGGCTTTGATGGTACAGCCATAACTATGTAGAGAAAACCCAATTTTAAGACTATTTTTATATTTATCATTACATAAATCCCAATTCTGGTAAATATATATATTATGTATACATTAATAGTGGAATTACAGTTTGTTACTTGCTTTCAACTTGCATTAAACTTTTTTTCTTATTTGACAATTTACCGTATATAATCGCCTATGAGTCAGGTTTTTTTTTTGGGGGGGGGGGGGGATTCTGGTCCAAAAATCTCTGTCCGACTTACATGTATAGGCGAGTCAAAAAAAAAAAAAAATTGGTGATTTTCTTGACGGTATAATGCAGTATGTTTGAACATCGCCGAAGAATATCTGCCATCCGTCAATACTATGCATAAGGTACATCTATTTATACAATTAAATAGTTTTTTTTGTGTGTATTGGTATTTTTTTTTAATTATTTACAAAACTATTCCTTTAGGTTACCTCTTGTGACATACGATACTGCACTGTTAATCTATCGTTTATTGGTAAAATTGAATTGCGAACCCGATTTAATGCCAATCAGCATTACATGTACAATGATCTATATACATGTAGCATATTAAAAATAACTTTGAAAACATATTTTATTTTAATAATTTTAAATGTTTGACTATTTAAACTCAATTGTTTATGAAATTAATTGTTTTTTAATAACCGTTACACAGTTTTCTCAGGACGGGTGCCACTAAATAAATACAGAGTCAGGGAAGAGATATATTAGGTAAATAAGAGACGATAATTGTTTACCCGTAAAGGAAGGTAAATGAAGGATAATTGCAAATAGATGACTTGGACATTTGCTTTTCTTTTATTTCAAAGACAGAGCAAGGTAGAAAAATATCAGGATCGGTGTACAAAATATACATTTACAAAACAAGGGAAATCACTCTCAAATCAAAATACTACTTCTAAGTTACCCAGGTAAATAAAATAAAGCAGCTATTTTGTTGGTTGAATTATGAAAATCATATCCAAAAATAATCTTTGCACAAAGGTACGCAGCTAAGATAAGGCTGCCCGTAAAATATCAAACTGTGCAAACAGCACTTACTTTGCTGAACTACCTAGATATGACGTCATAATAGAATGTGACGTCAAGTCACTGCATACTTCAGATGACATGACGGGGAAAGTGTCATAATTATTACATGGCATGTACATTTATTTTGGAGACTTATTGTTTAATTCAAGTATAAGGATTGTTTGTTGAGCTCGAGTTTGCTGTTATAATTTGAACATTTGAAATTTAAATATCCTTATTCCTTTTGCTTGTCCGATATGCACATAATCAAACAATAGCAAAAATAATATGTGATACGCTCCCGTTACACGTCCGCAGACAGAGTTAAAATTTATTAAGCGTGTTTATAATGGACTGGCACAAGTGATAAACAAGGACAATTTGAAGATATTCTGTGTGAATCTACACGAGAAGTATGTCCTCTAACTGAATTTTGCTGGGGGATTGTGTGTAGTTTATCCATTTTTATAAAAATCGCGATAAAGAGTGGAAAATACCCCTGCAATTTCAAACAAGGATTACATATTAAAATTAAAATCTAGCTCAGAATAAAATGTATATTTTCAAGGCATTTTAAGCCTTCGGACAGCCTTATCATAACTGCGTAAACACATAAGAGTATTAAAAGTTGTACCGACTTATTAATGGGTCAAAGGCAAATCCTTCCAAAATAGCCTCAGCACATCGGCTAGGAAAAAGCACAGATCAGATCAGAACTGAAAGTTAAGTAACGTTGAAGGGGGAGGAAGGGCTTGCATTTTAACCCCCCAGGGGACCATGATTTGAAGGAACTAGAATCTACAATACCTGAGGATGATTCCATATAAATATCATTAATCGTGGCTTTGAAGTACTTGATAAGAAGATTTTAAAAGGTTTCCCTATATATTTCTATGTACAACTTTTAACTGCCATTATGGCCCCACCCTAGCCCTGGGGTCATGATTTGAATAAACTTGAATCTACACTACCTGAGGATAATTTCACATGAGTTTCATCTTTCCTGTCTTAATAGTTCTTGAGAAAATTTTTCCTATATAAATTCCTATGTAAAACTTTAATCGGCCATTATGACCTCACCCTACCCCCGGGGTCATCATTTGCACAAATTTGAATCTACACTGTCTGAGGATGATTGCACATGAGTTTCATCTTTCCTGGCCCAGTAGTTCTTGAGAAGAAAATGTTTTAAATATTTTCCTATATATTCCTATGTAAAAGTTTGATCGGCAATTTTGGCCCCATCTTACCCTTAGGGATCATGATTTGAACAAACTTCAATCTACACTACCTGAGGATGATTCCACATGAATTTCATCCTTCCTGGCCAAGTAGTTCTTGAGCAGAATATTTTTTTAAAAAATTCCTATATATTTCTATGTAAAACTTTGATCGGCCATTGTGGCCACACCCTATTCCCGGGGGTCATGATTTGAACAAAATTGAATTTACACTACTTGAGGATGCTTCTCTTTAAGTTTCATTTTTCCTGGCACAGTGGTTCTTGAGAAGATGTTTAAAGAATTTTCCTATATATTTCTATGTAAAAATTTGATCGGCCATTGTGGCCCCGCCATACCCCCGGGGGTCATGATTTGTACAAACTTGAATTTACACTATATGAGGATGCTTCCCTATAAGTTTCATCTTTCCTGGCACAGTGGTTCTTGAGAAGAAGGTTTTTAAAACATACAATCAAATTTTCACTATTTCTCAATTGTCTCCCCTTGAATAAGGGCGTGGTTCTTCATTTGAACAAACTTGAATTCCCTTCACCTAAGGATTCTTTGTGCCAAGTTTGGTTGAAATTGGCCCAGTGGTTCTTGAGAAGAAGTCGAAAATGTGAAAAGTTAACGACAACAACGACGACGACGACGACGACGACGACAGACAACAGACAAATTTTGATCAGATAGCTCACTTGAGCCTTCGGCTCAGGTAAGCTAAAAAATGCAACCGACTTATAGGCGGACAGACTTATAGGCGACTATATACGGTATACATACCGACAATGAATTTGAGATATATTTGTAATTTCATGGTCTATTATGTCTAATACTAGTATTCAAATATGCATGTTAACTTTCATATGTTTTTGCATATGACAGGTGAACTATTTGCAAACAGTCGCATCTATACTTTTTTTGCAGTTTATCATTGCTTGGCTTTTAAAATGTAATAACGATATTTAAAAAAATGCAGATTACCCGTGACAACCATGTTAGGATTCAATATACTAATATCCCGCTGAACGCAGAATTAAACAAGCTAATTCAGAGAATATTCGTGTCCCCCGCTTAGGGAAAAAGTCGGATCCCCCTGACTGAATTTGTAGAATTATTAAATGTATACATGTATACTCAAGCAAATAAAATACATGATTGTCAATATGCGTATAAAGATTTGATTGCTTATTCTTTATTATGTGTATAGAAGATTCTTTTTATATGGAATATTTATCACACTGTAATGATGATTTTATAACCTCATAAATTTTTCATTTCACATGTTGAATACTATCAGTTAATAAAAAAAAGGAAAAGTATTTAAAAAAAAGAAAAAATAAAGACAGGATCGACCGAGATTCGATGCCGGGACCTCACGCATGTGAAGCGAGTGACATAATCACTAGACCACGGAATCGCTTTAACCGGTGTCAAGTATATGCAGAACTTAAGTCACATACATGTATATATTCATGTTCGGTATTCTCAAAATTTTACAAAATCCATGGTGTTTGATTTATTTGGCCATTATTAAACAGTTCTAATAGATGTAATAAGAACATAAAGTCAGCCGAGAACCTGTTTTATACGCAATAACTCTCCTCATGCCCCTGCGCTAAAAATAGCGACATGTAATACTATTAATACTAATAAAACAAACGGGGCGGGGCACTTTGAGAGGGACGAGAGACGTCCTAGGGAGTTTTGGTATAAAATTATATTGCATAAGCTAAACATCTTCTTGAAATATCGCCCAGAAATGATAGTGTTACACACAGAGAATTAATTTACGACCTTGAACTTTGACTTTTTGACCTCAAAATCAATAGGGGTCTTCATTAGGCCACAGGGAGTTGTTATGTAAAATTTTATTTCTATAGATCAAATGGTTCTAGAGATATCGTGTGAAAACGAAAGTGTTTTAACAGACAGAATTTGCTTAATTATGACCTTGACCTTTGACCTTTTGACCTCAAAATCAATAGATGCCTTTTTTAGTCCATAGTTAGTTGCTATGCTAAATTTCATTGCAAAAGCTCAAAGGGTTCTCGAGATATCGCGTGCAAACGAAAGCGTTACAGACAGACAAAAAGACGGACGGACGGACAAACCCAAATTAATATCCCCCACTTTTCAAGCGAGGGACAAAAAAAAGCAGAATAGAGTTTGTCACCTCTGTTTTATTATTTATATATCTTCTTTTGTTTTTTGTTTTTTTTAATTGTAATAACATTTAAAAAAAAAAACATGTAATATATTAAACCTATTCAATAATGTCAATCTGCATTATAAAAGATTCTGCTTAATGGCCCTGGATGTCTTTTTTAGGTCAAAGTACAAGCCCTTCAGTGATTTACCATGACATTTGTATCTGAGTTAAAATTTCTCGAATTGGACGTCAAACAACATGCGTACATACATTTAATCAATCAATCAATCTAACTATCTTTCTGTTCTTAAAATAATTCTTCATAACTCTATTTCTTTATCTTTTATGAGCAATTTTATCTCATTGAGTTTTGTTTCATTTGTAATTTTAAATTTATTTAGATGATAACTGTTATTGATATATTTTAAGTTTCTGACTGAAAACGGAATCCCCCAACCCCTTCCAAAAAAGTAATAAAACCGTTTTACATTAATAGAGAGTAATTTAAAAGGAAAATATATGATGAATAAATGTAAACTAAAAACTGTCAGGTTTATTATTATTTTATTGTTAATATTTCTTTTTACACAAATGATACGTTAGCTACTTTACCTGTAGGTTCAGTTTTGTTGACCCTCTCTAATCCCTGTGGTTTGCCGTAGTCTGGTACTATTGGGATGAGGATTGGATGCCCCCATCTTTGTGTTGGCACAATAAGAACGGGCTTTGTTGATGTAGCCATAACTAGATGGAGAAAAATCAAATTTATATATTTAATACTACCTAAATCCCAATACTGGTAAATACGTATATCGTGTATACATTGTATGGGGAAGGACAATTTGTAAAATGTTGCATTATTTTTTTTTATTTTGACGAATTATACATACCGTCAATGAATTTAAGATTTATGTAGAATTTCATGGTAAAAGCTATATATGTTGTGTCAAGTATATTAGATATGTACATGTTCACTTTCATATGAGTATTTTGTATATGACAGACAGACTATTTGAAAACCGTCGTACCTATACTTTTTGCAGTATATCCTTGCTTGGCCTTTAAAATGTATTAACGACATTTTCCCATGAGAAATACCCGTGTCAACTATGTTGCTAATATACTAATATACTAATATACCACTGAATGCAGAATGAATGATAGCAGAATAAAGTTTGTTGTTTCTGTTTTCTTATTTATATTTCTTCTGTTGTCGTTTTTTTTATATCCAATTTATCAAATTAAAAAAACACGCAATATATTACACCCTATACAATAATATCAATCCACATAAAATAAAATTTGATTGATTTTATATTGTTTAACGTGTCTCTCAAATGTTTTTTTCACTTATATAAATACGCCACCACTTGCCGGTGGAGACCTGAAAATTTTGCCCTATACTCGGCACTCAAGGCCATTGGGCAATGAGGGATCTCATTTTCGTGCCAGCACCTACAGCGAACCCGGGACCTCGGTTTATCCGGTCTCATTTAAACCCGCAATGTAAGTATCAACTTCTTACTTCGCGACTCTAGAGCGGACGCTCTAACTACTGAGCCATGCATCATAAAAGAACTAAATATATTTATTTTTTTATTTGGATATTTAACAAAAGGAATTGATGGCAAACTAACGTGTTGAATTGGTGATGAATTCATTTTTTTTTACTGCTTTCTGCTCTTTATGCAGCAAAATAATATTGTCACTTAGATATTTTATTTGGCTCAACATTCACATTTCCCTTGAAATACATTTTTTGTAGAGAAAAGAGGGTTATATACCTTTACTTGTTGACAGCACACTCGCGGTGGTCGTGGTATAGACTCCTTAAGGCGGTGTGCTTGGCGCAAGATTCTGGTCTTGGTATGAAGAAAAGAAATGATAGATATGATAAGATTTAGTAGTTCCAAACTCTTCAGATTTGCTGAGATACAATGTTGTAGAAATAATGTTGTGTTACATTTCCCTTCAGTTGAACATCAACATCTAGAATTATAGAGAGTAGTGTTCAACATTATATTCAAAAAGTTGTGTAAATCAGATGTAAATACTCAAAAATTCCAAAGAACTTTTGGACAATTTTAAATTACAAGATCTTACCGAAATCAAGAGCTTAAAAACTAATGACTTTTCAATTTTAATTTTTACACAACTATTCCCCACTAGAAATTAAATCCAGGCGTTTTTTTATGTCATTGACAGCTGCTTTTCCAATTAAAAAAGGAATTCTTAAATGAATGTACCTGTTTTTTGGTCATTTGCAAAATTTATTTTGTTAAAACACATTCTGATTGAACACACAAGTACATCAAAGTTGGCATAAAATATGCGTGATTTTCTGATTGACAATTTCTATGGGAGTTTCAGAGACCTGGTCTTCTAACAATCTTTTCGGATTCTAGTAGGTACCAACTCCCCTCCGTATTTATAAGACCTATTTTTGTATTCACATGAAGCAGAAAATCGTTTGCGTGAAAAGAAGAAAGTACTTGCTTTGTCCTGTAACTCGACATTTAAATATATCAACGGCGTTTTGTCAATGATTATTGCATTTTTATGTAGATATGATATATCCTTGTGAGATTGAGATAAAAGATACCACAGAGTCTGGCACATCTGTTTCATATTAGGATATTTTACTTGAAAAAAGTTAATGATTACATTTGTAGCTAATAAACACGCTCTAAAATAAACGTGATTATTTTAACTATTCTATCGCCAACTTCCCTTACTTATGAAGCAGTATACTTTCATCCCCTGCATAGGGAGTTTAAAGTCATTATTTCCTAAGTTCAATTGTCGATTTAATGAACTGGCCCCGGGATCATGAAACAGACGTTGACTTAAGTCAAAATTTCAAATATCTATAAAATCTTTAAAACTTGTTAAAGGAACCTCATAATGTGTTGTTTATCAAAGCAGTATACACAATATATCCCAAAACTGAAGCGGGCGAGTGGCAGACAATACGATTATTTTCTAAAGGAAAATAAGCACAGAAATGAGTCATTTTAAGGCTTTTCTGCATTCATGTTAGAAATGTACTAAATTAGTGACGTCATATTTCCAGAATGGTCCTCTTCCATATTTTTTAATGATTTATCTACTCAACTACTGTAAAAGCCAATTTCCCGACTGTTTAAAAACATGAAACTTTAGAGCACAAACAATCCAAAACTGTTACTGCTAGCGTTAAAGCAAAAGACCTTAACACATGTACAGCAGGAAATGGAGTATGGGATTTTCAGAAAATGTTAGTATATTCTATATTAGCCCATTATTCTGAAGAATAAGATTCTCACGTTGAGCCAATTTTAATGGAAGTTAGAACCCATTGTATAGAATTAATCTTTCAGAAACCTTAAAATCAAATACAACTAGGATTTCTGACTCTAAAAAGTTAAAATAAATCATTTTATTTAAATATTTATTAGAAATGATATTGATGAATATGGGGGGTTAAGGGAGGTTGTTTGTTATGATTTTGTCATTGACAACGGTTTTTGTAATACAGAAATCAATACATATACTGAACGGCAAAAGAAACGCATAAGAGCATAGTATGCAAAAATATTTAATTGTTTGACCGAAAATTATGATAATTGGTAAGATGTTGTATTTTGGTTAATGGCTAATGGTAATCTAACAACCAAACTATATGATAAACGTTATAACTTTAACTTTTCTATCGTCAACTTCCCCTACTTATACAGCAATATACCTTCATCACCTGCATCTGGAGTATATAAATCTCAGATGATTCGATACGCAAGAGCATGCTCTACCTATGAACAATTTCTTAAACGAGGTAAATTATTGACAAGCAAGTTGATGAAACAAGAATTTCAACAGTCACGTTCAAAGTCATCATTTCGTAAATTCAATGGTCGATACAATGACCTTGTCAGCAAATACAATTTATCATTAAATGAAATACTGACTGACGTTTTTCATACCAATTGTTAGTCCATTATTTATACACTGAATTGACCACGGATTTTTTCCGTTATTTCCTGATAATGACAACGAGCACACGGCGGGTGTGACCGGTCGGCAGGGGATGCTCACTCCTCCATGGCACCTGATCCCACCTCTGATGTTTCGGAGGTTCGTGTTTGCTCTGCTCTTATTTTGTATATTTGTTTAATGGACGTTGAGATGGAATACTGCTCGTTATTTCCATATCCTTCTACAGTAAAAAGGAATTTTCAAAAATGATTGTCAAAACAACATGGGCAGCAGAGGAAAATCAATGGCGTGCTGTTCTGTCTGGAGATCCTGATATGTATTTTGTAAAGTAAAATCCATACTTAATTTAAACTAATTAAATTGTGGCAGATTGCTAGAAAAAATCTCAAGAAAATATCAATAATTTTTTGGTTTCAGGTTTTATTGATGAAATTTGTATATAAATTTTGTTAATTTTGTAGTAAGTTAAAGAGTTATATAATATGCACTTTATGTTAAGTTGTTTAACACCTTTAGACGAAAGAGAAAATATGTTTGAGGTCATTTTAGATATACTCGATGTATACTTAAGTATGTTCTAGATCCTGAACTATAGTTCTAATCTTTAATGGATTGTGGGCAAAGCACAAGATTTGAAATAACATGTTTTACAAAATGCAAATGTATTATATTTATTGTTGCTTCAACAATTTACAAGGGGTATTTACATGTAATATTTTTAAGACACAGGTCCTCGTTGACAGGATTATCCTACATCCCCCAACCTTTTAATGTATATTTTTTTCTTATCTCTGACAACTGAAAATAACATAAATATGCCAGTTCTTTTAACAGTCTTGCACATAAAAAGAAAAAAAATTAAAGGGACTGGGGGATTTTAGGACAATTCTGTTTACGAGACCTGTGATTTGAGAACAATGCACATATTGTGGTTATAGTCTGTATGTCTGGCTCGGCCTTTAAAAATAGCACCGAGTTTTATCGATCTGCATTCTAAATACACAAACTTTACAAATGGCTATGACTCAGAAGGAAGTACTTAAAGAAGTTTTTTATTGGCAGGTGATCAAAAACACCGTTGTATAAAGTAAGAAATGCATCTTAATATTATATAATAGATGATGTAAATATACAATTACCTAAAAAAGATTAATATATAAATGTATTTCTTAGAGGGAAAGGGTAATTTGTCTTATGATGGTTATACCTTGCTTGAAATGGAAACTAGAATATACGCATTTCTTAAAACAGAATTTCCTTGAAGAATTAAAGTGTATCTTTAAAGATATATGTATTACCCAAAATTAAATGAATAAATATATATTATTTCATTTTCTTTGTTTATACCCTTAAAGGAACGCAAAATAATTTCTGTATAAAACGGGCAAGAATCGGGACAACCCCCCCCCCCGACAACCAGCTGAGCCATCTCATTTCATACCAGTCCTCAGGATGCATGAGAAATTCAAGATTTAGTAAATGTGCCTTTAACTTAAAACAGTAATTGATCTTAACAAAATGTAAACAAACAAAATGGCTACTAGGTCTATGAAAACGTTTTCACCCCCTCCCTTCCAATCAGTTCCGTTACTAGGGTTGTATTTTTCAGCGGCAGATTTAAACCAGTAAAATGAAACGAAATTCTACTCCAATAGCTGGTTAATAATTTGAAAATTGAATTATAAGGAAGGACTCGGTCAAAATAAAAATAAAGACAATAGAGCGGTTATTGAATCAAACCAGGTTATACTGTAATAAGTTGTCAAGATTTAGAGTCAATCCTTACAATTCCAAAAGTACTAAACAATGATGTAAGTAATGTTCAGAATAAATGTAAAAGCTTATAAAACTGGGAGTTAAAATTCCTCTTCGGAAAGTAAATACAGGTCAAGAGTTGAACTGTTTAAAATTACTAATACATACAGTAAATCCCTTTGCACAATTTTATGTCAGTTTACTTATTACACATGTATGTCATAAGTTCTCTTTTAACGCCAGCTTAGGCTCTTTGCTTTAAACAAGATTTTCAAAAAAAGACAGATCTTGTAAACTATGCAATATGCACAGAATGTCTGCAAACAAATAAATATATATTTCAGTCTGAAAGAAAAACGGTTGTAACTGGACAATCTGAAAAATAATAGTTTTTAAAGGACTCTCTATTATCTGTACACTTTATAATCTATTTCACTGTAATAACACACGCTTACAAAGTGGGAGGGTATATACATGTAGTAATAGGGATGTCCGTCCGTCAGTAGCTGTACGACTGTGCGTCCGTCCGGCTGTTACGCTTTGGGATACCCCTTTATTAACCGCAACTCTTCTCATACCACTGAATGAAATTTTATGAGACTTTCACAGAATATTTATTACAAACTTCAATTGTGCATCTTTCATTTTATTTTTGGATCGGACATATATTGTAGGATTCCTATAGCAAAACATGAACACTGCCATTATATTCATATAAGAGGTTTAGGGGGTATAATTTAGTGTGCTTAATGATTGCTGTCAGCACTCTAGTTACATGTAGTGATCCAAAGATCAGATATTTATTACAGGTCCATATACTCAATATCTTCACCCTAGTTTGAATGTCTGACATTGGTATTTTGCTTTTTTGTTTCGATTATTTGGTTTAAAAAAAATATCCATTGCACATTAAGGTAGTTAGCAGTTAAGTAATCACAAATACTCATAAAAGTATTTCTGAATCCACAAAGTTATGTAAATTTATCCACAGTATGTAAATATATCCATTTTATTGTCTTTAAAGTTAAACATTAAAGTTAATCATATTATAAAGGAAAAATTGTCAAATCTCCAACATTTTTGCTGAAAAAGCGGATTGGAATATCAGCAATGCATTTTCCAATTACAAATTGATCA